CCGTCAACCGGAGCCATTTCCACCGGTATGGAAACACCCGGTTGTTCCAGATCGGCTACTGTTATTGAGATGTGGTTGACGGAACCCTACCAGGCCAAAAATATTATTCTATTGTGCGCCGGAAATCACTCCCTCTTCATGCGACGACGACAACCAGACAGTGTCGAAGTGCAGCAGATGAGAGCACAGGCTCGCGAGGAACGTGCCAGGAGGGAGGTATGTAGACTGACTATCCCCTTTTTTATCTCACATCATTCTGATTTTTCCGATGTTTTGTTAAGTTTTCATTTACTGGTTCAAAAAAGACCAATGTGAGGCTACAGCTTTGATGTCAAATCCCCATGAAAGTGGAATTCGTTTTCAAAAATAAACCCAACACAACAGTCCGCGGAGCCTTAAAATAGACGCAGTACGTCCGACCGTCTGGTTCTTGCGAATACGCGTCTCGATTAGTCGCATTATGCGTCCTGATTACCTGAATGTCCAGCTCGAGGGTTTAAGCATCCGAAAAGATCACTTCTTCCTGCAATGAGGCAGTGGTATTTGCGGAACTCCTCTATTATAAGCTTCTGCTTTACGATACTACAAAGACCTTCACAGGCTCATAGAGTTCAGGCTCCTTCGAGAAATTCTAGGGACTGAAATAGTTGGTTAGTAGCCGTTCTTGGATCAGGAGTCCCCGCCGGAGTCCAAACTGGGTGCAGTTGGGAGTCGGAGATAAGCCGCAACCTCAGCCGACTTGAACCAAAGGTCCACGGGGTGAGTAGGGGCCGAAATCGATACTCTTGGCGGAGGTGAGTAATCCAGATTTTGGAGCAAAGTGATGTGCGATTTTTCTTCTGCTTGCTTGGCCCACCCTACCGGTTTTCTGTGAGAAAATAGTGTTTTAAAGGAAACAAGAATAAGGAAGCTTAGATCTAAGCTTTCCGCACATTCAAGAATCGGATTCAGATTGATGTACATAATACGGGCGCATTTTTTTATTAGAACGAATTTTATTTGCAATTTTCAGTAGTTTTTTCCCCAAATTCACGATCTCGTTCAAATATTTGTCTTAAATAATTCGTTTGAATT